TCATTCTATCGTATATCGTTTCATTGCCATGGTTACAATCCCCTCCATGCATCATCAACCAACCAAAGGGTACACCCTGCAAGCCTGCCTCCTGGTTGTTGGCACACAGCCCCTCTACCTCTCTGACACCATTCCTCTTGAATTTGTCATTCCCAGTATAGTAAACCATATGATTAGCTGATTCAGAATGGCCAGTGCCAGTTCATTTCGGGTTTAATGCCCAGGATATTGATCTTTATGAGTTCCATTTTAGTTTTGACAACTGTCAATTTCCCTAGCTTCAAATTTCATACATTCCACATTCCAATTATTAATAGCTGTTTGCAGCTATTTCTTCTCATTTGGAATTGCATCCCATCAGCAAATGCAGGCATATGAGCTTTGTTCTGTCTATATCTTTATGGTCAGCTCCACTCTAAGAGGAAGCACTGCCCCAGCCTTCCAATCTGAGGGGCTCATTTCTGGCATTTTCTTTGATTGTGTCCTGCTGCTGCTCATGATTTTTTTTCTTAATGTTTTCTGTGTGTTCCTAAGTGTAGCACTGTGGGTTAGCAGGCTGGATTGCAAAGTCAGTTTGAACTGCGAGGTCGGTGGTTCAAGTTCTCCAGCTGCTCCTTGGAAACCCTATACAGAGTCGCTGTGGGTCAGAACCAACTCAGCACTTAACAATGACACCAGCGTAATGTTTTCATCTTCTAGCACTATGTCTGAGAATATCCTGCTGCTCTTCATTAGGTTCTCAGTGGCTAGCCATTCAGAAGTGCTCCACCTCTCCTCCTTGCCCATCTGTCTTAATCTGGAAGCTCTACTGTAACCTGCTGGTATTTAAAATAAAATTGCTTCCAGCATTACAGCCACACACAGCCACCGTAGTGTGACAAACAGACGGAGAGTGGTTTAGTCAATACCAGCTCACCTTACATCCTAGAAGAGGGTTCTCTCACACGTGGTTCCGACAACCACATGGCAAGAGCAGATGCCCCCAGAGTAAGGCCCCTCTAGGACCCCACCCCCATCCATCCACGACCTGTGTTCTGTACCCTCCCAGGCCTCAGGCCTGCAGAGTGGCATCCTGTCTGCTGAAGTCTAGAAGTGGGGTTGGCCGGGGCACAACGGTGCATCCGCTTTCCTCTGGGTTGGACTCCGGATCGCGTTCTTGACTGGTAGTTCCCGTGTTTTGTTTTTCTAGGGCAGAGCCATGGGGCCCCATCTCTTGTCCAGGTGGCCGGCCTGGGTCTTTAGGGTCGCTCCAGGCTGGTGGCGGAAGGGTCATTCCTGTGCCCTGCTGAGAACCTGGTGCGTGCCTGGGGTTACCACCGGGCAGACGAAGTGGCCACACAGCTCTTGGGGAGTCTGGGGGACCAGCCTCCTTGCCCACAGGGGCTGCTCCTCGGTTTCCTCTCGCCCTGCCGAAGTGATGCTGACCCAGGAGCGCTACCCAGTGCAGCGATTGCCGTTCGCGGTGGTGTCCGATGAGGATCTGGCCGCCTTCGAGCGCATCCTCCCCGGCAGGGTCATCACCAGCAGCGAGGAGCTGGAGGCTGTGAACGTGGACTGGCTGAGAACCGTCCGAGGTAGGTCACGGCTGCCTGCCCCTTGCATGTTGTGTCGGGAGGGGGCTCGGGAGAGACAGCGGAGAGGTAAGGAACAACAAAGGGAGCCGAGCTCAAGTTCAACGCCGTGCTTTGGTGTAGCTCAAGAGCGTTTCCTAAGTGGGCCTTCTTATCCTTGGAAGAAAAGCTGTGTTGTGGTGATTTAAACTGTTCAGAAAATACGAAACCCTACACTTGTTTATTGGTAATGCAGGGTACAACTCCCATTCTGTGAAGTGTGTGTCTTTACAGCGCTGTCGTAGTCTGTTAGGGCTGTCCTGGCTAGTGACCACTAACGAGGTGGTTTAAGACAAAACACATCTGTCCTTTCATGGTTCTGGAGGCTTGTTGATATTAGGTGATGTCGAGTCTGTTCTGGCTCAGTGACCCCATGTATAATGTTAACCCTAAAGGTAACATCTTCGCTTTGCAGCATTAAAAAGGTCCTTTGCAGCAGTTTCACCCAATGCTGCCTTTTTTAAAAAATATGTTTTACTGTGAATTATGTGATAGTTTACATGGGAGAACATTAGTTTTACATTCATCCTATGATATATTGTTTCATTGCCATGGTTACAATCCCCTCCATGCATCATCAACCAACCGAAGGGTATATACTACAAGCCTGCCCCCTGGTTGTCAGCACACAGCCCCTCTCCTTCTCTGGGTCTAAAGTCCCCAGCTGCTCCATCTCTCCATGTCATCATCCCTGCCTCCATCTCTGGCATCACTGCTTCTCTGGGTAGGGTCCTGCTCTCTGCTCTTCTCCCTGGATGGTCCCAGGGACTCCGCTCCTAGACTGCAAAGTTAATCACTCCCCTCCTTGCTACAAAATGACTATCTTTACATTTCTATAGCTGCCTTTTCTTAAACTTTTTATTGTGAATTGAATGAAGGCTTACAAAGCAGATCATCAGTTTTACATTAATCAAATCATATACTTAATTTCATCTTAATGATTGCTAGAAGATGAAAGAAATACTCAGAGTCACTGTACCAAAAAGAAATGGTTGATGTTCAACCATTTCATGAGGTAACATATGATCAAGAGCCAATTGTACTGAAGGAAGAAGTCCAAGGTTCACTGAAGGCATTTGCAAAGAACAAGGCAAGGGGAATTGATGGAATACAAATGGAAATCTTTCAACAAACTGATGCAGCACTGGAGGCACTCACTTACCTATGCCAAGAAATTTGGAAGATAGTTACCTGGCCAACTGGGAAGAGATCCATATTTGTGCTCATTCCAAGGAGAAGTGACCCAGCGGAATGGGGAAACCATAGGACAATATCATTAATATCATAGGCAAGTAAAATTTTGCTAACGATAATTCAGCACTACACTGACACAGAACCGCTAGAGGTTCAAGCTGGATTCAAGCAAAGACGTGGAATGAGGGGTATCATTGCTGACATTGGAGAATACCAAAAAGATGTTTACCTGTGCTTTATTGACTGTGCAAATGCTTTCAGCTTTGTGGATCATGCAAGCTTTGGATAACACTGTGGAGAATGAGTCTTCTGGAACGCTTAGTTGTACTCATGACAAACCTGTACCTAGACCAAGAGTCAGTCATTCAGACAGCACAAGGTGACACTGAATGGTATACTGGATGATATGAAGAAGAACGTGGCGTCAGGATTGGAGGAGGCTCATTAACAACCTGCGATATGCAGATGACACAACCTTGCTTACTAAAAGTGAACAGGACTTCAAGTGCTTACTGATGAAGATCAAAGACCACAGCCTTCAGTACGGCTTGCATCTCAATGTAAAGAAAACAAAAATCCTCACCACTGGACCAGCAAATAACATCATGATAAGTGGAGAAAAGACTCAAGTTGTCAAAGACTTCATTTTGCTTGGATCCACAATCAACACTCATGGAAGCAGCAGTCAAGAAATCAAACAACGTACTGCATTAGGCAAATCTGCTGCACGAGACCTCTTTGAGATGTTCAAGAGCAAAGATGTCAGCTTGAGGACTTAGATGCACCTGACCCAAGCCTTGGTATTTTCAGTAACCTCATATGCATGTGAAAGCTGGACAGTGAATAAGGAAGACCATAGAAGAATAGATGCATTTGAGTTATGGTGTTGGAGGAGAATATTGAAGGTGCCATGGAATGCCAAAAGAACCAATAAATCTGTATTAGAAGAAGTACAGCCAGAACGTTCCTTAGAAGCCAAAATGACCAAACTTTCTCTCTCATTTGTTGCTGTTGTGAAGTGCCGTCGAGTCAGTTCCGACCCATAGTGACCCTGTATAGGGTTTCCAAGGAGCAGCTGGTGAGCTTGAACCACCAACCTTGCAGTTCAAACGGCTTTGCAGTCAGATGCATTAGCCCACAGCGCCACCCCAGGACTCCTTTTCTCTCATAGTAGGAGCTAAAACAGGCACAGAACCCTGACTGCTTTCAAGGAAAGTGGGCAGAGACACACCTCTGGAAGGGATTACATTGTGATCAGAGCACATGATGGAAAGAGTTTTCATGGCCAGATTGGAATATGTACCTTCCCCATGGCCACTCCTCTGTCCCTGGTCATTGATGATTGTTGTTGTTGTTAAGTGCTGTGGAGTTGGTTCCGACCCATAGTGACCCTGTACAGGGTTTCCGAGGCTGTAAATCTTTACAGGAGCAAAAAGCCTCATTTTTCTCCCACAGAGTGGCTGGTAGTTTCGAACTGCTGACCTTAAGGTTTGCAGCCCAATTCGTAAGCACTACGCTACCAGAGCTCCTTCATTGATGATTAGTCCTGGTTTAAAAGACTTTTTAAAAACAAACAAACAAACATAGTCTCAAGATTTTATTGTCTTCATAATACAACAAAAGATGATGCTTAGAACTGGATCACTTGGCCTTTTCCCATCTTATCTTCTGTCAGTTTATGATATCTTCATAACCAGTATTGTTTAGATCTGCGGTAGGTTCAACGCTGGCAAGCCCTCACATAGTCTTTCTTTCTTGTGGCTTTAGCCTTCTTCCAGAATATTACAGTCTGCCCACCAGTGCTCTCTGCTTTTTCTGGGCCTACAGGAAACCTTTGGTACTCTGGTAGCATAGTGGTTACGAACTGGGCTGCTAACCTCAGGGTCAGTAGTTCAAAACTACCAGCGATTCCATGGGAGAAAGATGAGGCTTTCTGCTCTCGTAAAGATTTATAGCCTCGGAAACCTTGTACAGGGTTGCTATGAGTTGGAACCGGCGCCACGGCTCATCCCTACCACCACAGGGAACCTTTGCCTCTTGTACTGAGACACTTAGCAGCCACATGGCTGCCGTCCTTTGGAGAGGATGCTGCCGTCTGATGTGGGGGGCGGGTGGACGAGGAGACGCTCTGGGTGCATCGTATCTCCTGACTGACTGACCTTTCTGTCTCAGGCTGTAGCAGGGTGCTGCTGAAACCCCAGACGACAGAGGAGGTATCACAGATCCTCAGGTACGTCCCTGCCCACTGCACTCCGCCCCTGTGGCCTATCCCATGGTTTCTAGTCTTAGAGCAATATGTGTGGACGCAGACAGGGGGCACTGCTGACTAAAAGCAAGTCCCTCCCAGCAGATGTTCTCAGTCTCTGGGTATCTCAGGGTAGGGGGCCTTCTCTTTCCAAGACCATTTTCCCTGGATTGTCGTAGACAATTCGGAAACCATGTTGTGTGTGCCATGGAGTCAGTTCTGATTTGTCACCATCCCATGTGATAGAGTGCAGCTGTCCTAGGTTTTCTCGGCTGCCATCTACACAACACCAGGTCTCTAGGTCTTTCTTCCTGTAGTCTCTAACTGCTGACCTTTCAGTTAGCACTGGAGCACCTTAACCACGGTGCCACCAGGGCTCCTTTGACACCATTGTTGTTGGATGTGCTGTCGAGTCGGTTCACACTCATGGCAACTCAGGTTTCCAAGGAGCGACTAGTGAGTTTGAACCTCCAACCTTGTAGCTCAAGTGACCTTGTGGTCTAGTGCTTATCCCACAGTGCCCCCCCCCCCCCAGGACTCCTTTGACACCATAGAAACCCTAACAGCTATAAAGGTGACTGGTAACCTGCCCCACAAAGAGAACCACGAACCACTGAAGCGTGTGGGTTTGCGTTTGCTCTCTTTCCCGAGTGGGCATGTGTTTAAATGGTCTATCTCTCTGTTGGGGTCTTCTTTATAAGCGTTTTTATTTTAAGGAGCCCTGGTGGTGCTGTAGGTAACATGTTGGACTGCTCACCACAAAGTTGGTAGTTCAAACTCACCAGCTACTCCGTGGGAGAAAGAGGAGGCTGTCTGCTTGTGTAGAGCTTCACAGTCTCCGAAACCCTGTGGAGGGTCGCTCTGAGTGAGTCACAGTCAACTTGGTGTCAATGGGTTATTTTTATTTAATTTATCTTAATTTTACATTTTAGAGTAGTTTTAGATTTACAGAAAACTTGTACAGAGAACACAGGCAATCTTTACACAGTCCCTCACCCTGGACACGGTTTCTCCTATAGTTAGGGCCCCGTGTCCCTGAGGTACATTTGTTACACTGTTTCTCCTAGAGTTAGGGCCCTGTGTCCCTGCGGTACAGTTATTACACTGTTTCTCGTATTGTTGTTGTTGTTGTTAGGTGCCATTGAGTTGTTACCGACTCATAGCTACCCTATGCACAACAGAAAGAAACACTGCCAAGTCCTGGACCAATCTCAGTGTTGTTGCCACGCTTGAGTCCATTGATGCTGCCACTTGGCCAATCCATCTTGCTAGGGGTCTTCATCTTTTTCTCTAACCCCTCCACCTTACCAAATATGATGTCCTTCTCCAGCGACTGGTCCCTCCTGACAATATGTCCGAAGTATGAGAGACGAAGTTTGGCCATCCTGGCCTCCAAGGAGCACTCTGGTTGCACTTTTTCCAACACAGATCTGTTGGTTCTTTTGGCAGCCCATGGCACTTTCAATATTCTCCTCCAACACCATAACTCAAAAGTATCAATTCTTCTATGGTCTTCCTTATTCTCTGTCCAGCTTTCGCATGCATATGAGGTTATTGAAAATACCATGGCTTGGGTCAGGTGCACCTTAATCTTCAAGCTTACATCTTTGCTCTTCAACACTTTTAAAAAGGTCTTGTGCAGCAGATTTGCCTAATGCAGTACATTGTTTGCTTCCCATGAGTGTTGATAGTTTATCCAACAAGAATGAAGTCCTTGACAACTTCAATCTTTTCTCCGTTGATAAGAATGTTGTTTATTGGTCCAGTGGTGAGGATTTTTGTTTTCTTTACGTTGCGATGCAATTGGTTCTGAAGGCTGTGCTCTTTAATCTTCATCAGTAAATGTTTTAAGTCCTCTTCACTTTCAGCAAGCAAGATTGTATCATCTGCGTATCTCAGGTTGTTAATGAGTCTTCCTCCAATCCTGATGCCACGTTTTTCTTCATAGAACCCAGCTTCTCGTACTATTTGCTCAGCATACAGGTTGAATCAGTGTGGTGAAAGAATACAACCCTGTCACACACCTTTCTTAATTTTAAACCATTCAGTGTTCCCATGTTCTCTTCGAACAACTGCCTCTTGGTCCAGGTACAGATTCCTGATAAGCACAATTAAGTGTTCTGGAATACTCATATTTCGCAATGTTGTCCATAGCTTGTCATGATCCACACAACTGAAAGCCTTTGTGTAGTCAATAAAGCACAGGGAAACATCTTTCTGGTATTCTCTGCTTTCAGCCAAGATCCATCTGATGTCAAAATGGATGTCAGAAGAGACACTGAAACTTGCTCTCCAGCATAGAGGTGCTAAAGCAAATGGAAGAAATGAGGAGGTCCAAGAGCTGAACAGAAAATTTCGAAGGTAAGCTTGAGAAGACAAAGTCAAATATTACAACCAAAAATGCAAAGATCTGGAGTTAGAAAACCATAAAGGAAGAACATGCTCAGCATTTCTCAAGCTGGGGGAACTGAAGAAAAAATTCAAGACTTGACTTTAATTATTGAAGGATTCTCTGGGCAAATTATTGAATGATGCAGAAAGCATCAAGAGAAGATGGAAGGACTACACAGAGTCACTGTACCAAAAGGAAATGGTTAATGTTCAACCGTTTCAAGAGGTAGCATATGATCAAGAGCCAATGATACTGAAGGAAGAAGTCCAAGGTGCATTGAAGGAATTGGTAAAGAACAAGGCACTAGGAATTGATGGAATAAAAATTGAAATCTTTCAAGTAATTGAGGCAGCACAGGAGGCACTCACTCATCTCTGCCAAGAAATTTGGAAGACAACTATCTGGCTGACCGATTGGAAGAGATCCAAATTTGTGCCCATTCCAAAGAGAGGTGACCCAACGGAATGCGGAAATCATCAGACAATATCATTAATATCACATGCAAGTAAAATTTTGCTAAAGACAATTCAAAAACAACTGCAACAGTACATTGACAGGGAACTTCCAGAGGTTCAAGCTGGATTCAGATGGGGATGTGGAGCAAGAGAGATCATTGCTGATGTCAGATGTATCTTGGCTGAAAGCAGAGAATACCAGAAAGATGTTCACCTGTGCTTTATTGACCATGACATAGTGTGGACCATGACAAGCTATGGACAACATTGTGGAGAATGAGTATTTCAGAACACTCCATTGTGCTCCTGAAGAACCTGCAGATAGACCAAGAGGCAATTGTTCGAACAGAACAAGGAAACACTGAATGGTTTAAAATTCGGAAAGGTTTGTGGCAGGGTTGTATTCTTTGTACATACTTATTCAATCTGTATGTTGAGCAAATAATCTAAGAAACTAGATTATATGAAGAACGTGGCATCAGGATTGGAGGAAGACTCATTAACAGTGTGTGATAAGCAGATGATACAACCTTGCTTGCTGGAAGTGAAGAGGAGTTAAAATACTTACTGATGAAGATCAAAGATCATAGCCTTCAGTATGGTGTGGGAAGCCAGAGCTTTCCAAGGCTCGTGAATACCTTGAAACCAAACTTGCCTAGCAACAGTAACGTCAGCACTAGAAACTTACTGGTGAATGTACCTGAGCCATTTCGGGGAAAAGGAAATTTATGCGCTAGCCAAACCTCAATGACTTGCAGATTTGCCCTATATAAGATTGGAACTTTTTAATAAACTTTGTCACTTGCCATCAGCATGTGTCCCTTACCTGATCACTGATCCCCGCCTCTCCCTCGAGTAACTCACGGTCGGAGCAGGACTCCAATAGTATGGGTTGCATCTGAATGTAAAGAAAACAGAATTCTCACAACGGGACCAATAAATAACATCTTGCAAGTGTTCAAGAGCAAAGATGTCACTTTGAGGACTAAAGTGCACCTCACCCAAGCCATGGAACCTCATATGCATGTGAAAGGTGGACAGTGAATAAGGAAGACCGTGGAAGAATTGATGTGTTTGAGTTATGGTGTTGGAGGAGAATACTGAAAGTGTCATGGGCTGCCCATAGAAAAAGTGGAATGGAAGAAGTACAACTAAAATGCTTCTTAGAAGCCAGGATGACCAGACTTCATCTCTCATGCTTTCGACATTTTATCAGAAGGGACCGGTCTCTGAAGAAGTACATCATAGTTGACAAAATGGAGGGACAGAGAAAAAGAGGGAGCCCCCAGTGAGATGGATTGGTACTGTAGCAGCAGTGGGTTGAAGTATAGCAGGAATTGTGAGGATGGCACTGAACTGGGTGCTGTTTCTCTCTGTTGGACACAGGGTCGCTGTGAATTGGCACTTAACAACGATATAGTTTACATTCTTTGTGTGCGTGACGGAATTCTGTGGGTTTTGACAAATGTGCGATGTTGTGTTCACCAGGACATGGTCTTACAGAATAGTGTCACTGCTCTGAAATGCCCTGTGGCCCTGTGGCCCTGTGAGGGCACCCCCCTGACGCCTCTATACTCTCCCAGGTATTGCCACGACAGGAAGCTGGCAGTGACCCCGCAGGGGGGGAACACCAGCATGGTGGGTGGCAGTGTTCCTGTCTTTGACGAGATCATACTCTCCACCTCCCTCCTGAACCAGGTGGTCAGCTTCCACGGAGTGTCTGGTGAGCCACTGGGATGTGGGGGTCCAGACCCCAGCTCTGGATGGGGTGTGCGTGTGTGTATTTTGCACTTGGTCATTGGGTGGTTCATGCTGTGGGCTTGGAGTGGGCGGGGACGGGCTAATGGTGGCATTTTCTGGCACACTCAGCTCTGGGGAGTGGGATCTGTACTCCAAGCACATAAGCTATTTCCTCGTACTGCAGCGCTTCTCAGCTGCGGCTCTGTGGACAGATAACTAACTCTCTGTGGTAGGGCTGCTGCGAGCCCTGAGAGCTGCCCGCTTGGTGTGTGTGTGTTTGTGTGTGTGTGACATGCCTTCTTTCCTCTACTGTTGACCTACCATTGGTCCTTCCATCCCTGTTATCATTAACACGCAGCACCTTACCCCCTGGTCCCCTGCCCTGTTCCTCAAGTGATCACTCTCCTTGGAGCCTGCACCATGGGGCCCCAGGATGGGGTGGCCCAGCAGGGGTCCACTGACCCAGGGAGGCGTGTGTCCTAAGTGGGTCCCAGGGTGGTCCCTCTCAGGTGGTCCCTCTCGGGTGGTCCCCTTGCCTCAGGAGGCAGCTACAGTGGTTGGGTGCTGTTGCAGGGGTCCTGGTGTGCCAGGCTGGGTGCATCCTAGAGGACCTGAGCCAGTACGTGGAGGACCGTGACTTTGTCATGCCCCTGGACCTGGGCGCCAAGGGCAGCTGCCACATCGGGGGGAATGTGGCTACCAATGCGGGTGGCCTGCGTGTCCTTCGATACGGCTCTCTACACGGGACTGTCCTGGGCCTGGAAGTGGTGAGTGTGGTCCTGGACTGTCCCTGTTGCCATTTCTCCCTTACCTGCTACATGACGGGCACTCCCACATTCTCTGAGCCTTGAAGCTTCCCTGGGCTCCTGTGGACCGATGCTGTAGTCAGTGACCTCGAGTTGGGCCAGTCCTGATTTGGCTCCCAGCTGTGAACCCTGGGCAGGTCTCACTGGACATTGTGTCTACCCAGGTACAGCCAGACTCACAGGTTCCACCAGGTACTGACCAGCTGACATTGAAGGATGAAGGACTGGGCACTGAGGAGGGGACAGACAGGGGCATCCTGGCTGCAGTCCATGGGCAGCTCCTGGGCTCCAGGGGCTTGGTGTGGGAGCGAGGACCTGAGTCACCTTGGGGGCCACCAGGGCAGGGCAGCTCTCCTCAGTGGGTGTTCTCAGGCCCTATTGTCAGAGTCCTGCATGTGTGCTGGCTCCCAGGAGACTGTGACACTCGCTTGGTGCCCACCCAGGGCATCATCACCACCCCCAGATCTTAGGGGACCAGAACACGAAGGCCAGCCCAAGGCCACATTTGTTCACAAAGCAGGTTCCCTCCCAGATACGTGGTATCCATCCTGGGCCCTGCCCACACCGAACATGCCCAGATGGACATGTGATGAGGGGGTCAGGTGGTTCCTGAGGGCAGAGTGATCAGAAGCAGGTGTGGACAGGCTGCCCACTTCCCTCGCGTGCTACGTCCATCTTCGGAGCGCCAGCTCCTACTTCACTTAAGCCTGCCCTCCTTACCAGCTGTATCCATAAGTCTTTGACAAAAGCAACAGTGGGTGAGACTCAGGCTCCAGACCAGGCGACAGCCCCGCTATTTGCAGGACGAGGAGTCCAGGGGGCACTGTGGGGCTCTGCCCCTGTCCCCCAACTATCTGCCTCATTTTAGGGGCTTCCTTCTGTGGCAGGTGGGATAGGGAACTTGGCTCTGATGAGGCACGAGGAAGCATTCCTGCAGCCTGATTGGGAACCCTGGCAACATTTCTGAATCAAACCTGGGGTGTCTGTGTGCTCTGGGACTGGGCTGAGACGGCAGGAGCCCTGGATCTGAGACACCGTCCCCTTCCCTCCTTCCCTTGCCAGGTGCTTGCTGACGGCTCCATCCTGGACTGTCTGAGCTCCCTGAGGAAGGACAACACGGGCTACGACCTGAAGCAGCTCTTCATTGGGTCAGAGGGCACGCTGGGGGTCATCACGGCCGTGTCCATCCTGTGTCCGCCGAAGCCCAAGGCTGTGAACGTGGCTTTCCTCGGTAGGTTTGCGGGACTCTGAGCTGGTGCTCTGCTGCCCCGTTCCCATTCCTTCCGGCTTCCCACTTTGCTTCCACAGGGGCCAGGAAGTGGTCTTTTTGTTCACAAAGACTTGACTTGGAGTCAGATATGTTCTCTGTCTCTGGCCAGAGCTTACTTCATTCTGGAACAGCCTGGAGGGTTCAGTCACCCCTTCTACCCCGTTTTGTTAGGAAGCAGCTTGTACGGTGAGTCAGGGACATGGTGGCATCTGGCATGAGGCCAACGGCACCGATGTGATGTTTTCTGGGGGATCTCTGTGCCTGCCATGCCCACCTCTCCTGAGCCTTTATCTCAGCAAGCAGCCCCGCTGCTGTCTCCCATCTCAGAACGCGTCCCTCCAGTTCCCCGGCTTCCTTTTACGGCTGACTGAGAATAGGCGCTTCTGTCTGCTCCTTCGGCCTCCCACTAGGCAGCCTGCTTCACTTGGACTGAGCAGGGTTAGTATAGCCTTTCCTCTCTATTGTTGTTGTTGTTCAGTGCCGTCAAGTTGGTTCCAACCCATAGCGACCCTGTATAGGGCTTCCAAGGAGACGCTGATGAGCTTGAACCACCAGCATCGCAGTTGAAACGGCTTTGTAGTCTGGCTCATTAACCCACAGCGCCACACCAGGACTCCCCTCGGTTTTATAGGCCAGGAGATTTGAAGCAACGTGACAGGTTTCTTGTTGCTGTTGTTGTGAGCCTTCAAGTCGGCTCCAACTCATAGTGACCCTGTGCAGCATTTCTGAGGCTGTGTGTGACATTTATGGGAGCAGAAGGTCTCTACTTTCACCCATGGAGCAGTGGGCGGATTTAAACTGCTGACCTTCTGGTTAGCAGTCCAACGCAAACCCACTGCGTCACGTAACTCAAAGGCCAGTTACCATCACGGTGGCTGGGTCACTGTGTCAGAGAACTGTGCTCCGGAATGTTTTCAGTGGTTCATCTCCCAGAAGCCGCGGGCCAGGCCTTTCCTTCCAGTATGCCTCTGTTGTCGTTGTTAGGTGCCGTAGAGTTGGTTCTGACTCACAGGACCCTGTAGCCAACAAGATGGAACACTGCCTGGTCTGGATTGTCCTTACAGTTGTTCAGTCCCATTGATGCAGCTACTGTGTTAGTTCCTCTTGTTGAGGGTCTTCCTCCGTTTCACTGACCCTCTACCTACCAGCTGCTTCTCGGGAGAAAGATGAGGCTGTCTGCTTCCATAAAGATTGACAGCTTCGGAAACCTTATACAGGGTCGCTTTGAGTTGGTACACAATCACCACCTTCTTTACCCACTTTCTCTGGGAACTGGTCCCTCCTGCTATCTTGTTCAAAGTATGGGAGACACAGTCTTGCCTTCCTTGCTTTTAGGAAGCGCTAGGACTGTGTTTCCAGGACAGACTTGTTTATTCGTTTTTCAGTTCATTCAGTATTCTTCGCCAGCACCATAATTCAGAGGCCTCAGGTCTTCTTCAGAATTCTCCACTCATTGTCCAGCTTTACACACATGCTGTGGCTGTCGTTAAGTGCCCTGATGTGATTCCAATGCACAGCGAGCCTGCGTGGGGATTCCAAGGCTGAAGCAGTCTTTGCTAGAGTAGAGAGCTTCATCTTTCTCCTGAGAAGACTTGTACATGGAAGTGGACTTGAACTCTTGGCCTTGTTCAGAGTCCAGTCACACATGTGAGGTAACTGTCAGGTGCACCTTAATCCTAACATTGACGTTTTTTGCTCTTTAGCACTTTAAAGAGGTGTTTTGCAGCAGATTTGTGTAGTACAGTAGGTTGGTTGATTTCCTGACTGTTGCTTCCATGAGCATTGATTTTGGATCCAAGTGAAATGAAACCCTTGACTGCTTCAGTCTTTTCTGTTTATCATGTTTTCTGTTGGTCCACTTGTGAGAATTTTGGTTTTCTGTACATTGAGTTATAATCCATACTGAAGACTGTAGTCTTTGATCTTTGTCAGTAAATGCTTAAAGTCTTCGTAGCTTTCATCAAGCCAGGTTAGGTTGTGTCATCTGCATATTCCTGGTTGTTAATGAGTCTTCCTCCAATCCTGATGCATGTTGCTCTTCACGTAGTCCAGCTTCTCAGATTATTTGCTCATCATACAGGTTGTAAGTTTGCACAGGATACAACCATGATGCACACCTTTCCTGACTTTAAACATTCAGTGTCCCCTTGGGTTTTCAGATGACTACCTCTTCATCTATGTACAGGCTCCTCAGGAGCACAGGTAAGTGTTGTGGAGTTCCTATTCTCCACAATGCTCTCCAGAGCTTCTTACGATCCGCACAGTCAAACGCCTGTGTATAATCAGTACAACACAAGTAAACATCTTTCTGGTATTCTGTGCTTTCAGCTGGCACTTGATGTCAACATCCTCTTCTCCACATCGTCTTCTAAATGCAGCTTAAATTTCTGGCCGCTCCCTCTTGATGTACTGCTGCAACCGTTTTTAAAATTATCTTCAGCAAAATTGTACTTGCATATGCTATAGATGATATTGTTGAATGATTTCTGGATTCTGTTGGGTCATCTTTCTTTGGACTGAGCACAAATATGGCTCTCTTCTGATCGGTTGACCAGGTAGTAGTCTTCCAGATTTTTTGGTATAGACGAGTGAGGGTTTTCAATGCTGCTTCAGTTTATAGAAACATTTCAGAATGGAGCCTTGTTGTTCATCAGTACCTGCACTTTCAATACCATTGATTCTTGATCGTATGCAACCTCTTGAAATGGTTGAATGTTGACCAATACTTTTGGGTACAGTGACTCAGTGTTTTCCTTCCTTCCCCCCCCCCCCCCATCATATATCATTTTATTATGAATTGAGTAAAGGTTTACAGAGCAGGTCATCAGTTTTACATTCAACAATCACATACTTTGCTTCATTATATGGTTGCAATCCCCTCCATGCACCAGCCGTTAACAGCGTTTACCTCTATTCACTCCAACCACTGTCGCCACCCCCATCTTTCCTGCTAACCTCCCTATGGTTGTATATTGCCTGCCCCATTACCCATGTCAATGCATGTCTGCCCTCTAGTGCATGTATAACACACACACATACACACACACGCACAGGAATGTGTAATTGTTTAAATAACCACAGGGCATGTTCTGGAAGCCAGTCTCCTGGCCACCAACACACAGCCTTTCTCTTTCCTCGAGTCTAGAGTCCTCAGCTGCTCAGTCTCTCCATGCCACCACCTCTGCCTCCCTCTAGGTGTAGCTGCTTCTCTGGTTAGGGTCCCACGTTCAGCTCATGCTCTTCTTTCTTGGTCCTAGGGCCCTCTGTTCCTGGAATGCAGATTAACTACTGCCACCTTTTTGTTGGACAACCTCTACCTTTACAGTGTGACAATCACGATTTGGTATGATGACCACTTACTGTTCAATCAGGCCACTCCTTCACCATCTCCTTTCTCCCGACCCATCGAGACATGAAGAAAACGGTTCAGTCGGGATTCTGTCTTTCTCTGCACACTCGGAAACTAAACTCCCTCTTGAAAACTTGTAAGCCAGCCACTTTGTGCCTTTATAGCCCCCCACCCCCATTTTAGGTAGCCAATGACTAAGTTGCTTGTTTCTATCAACCCTGTGTACAAAGGGGATAGGCTTGATCCTTGATGTGAAGACAATCTCTTTGATATCCCATGTGAGTCAAGTTTTGCTAAAGGTAATACAGAAGTGGCTACAATCATACATTAATAGAGAACTTCCAGAGGTTCAAGCCAGATTCAGAAGAGGCCATGGAACGAGGGATATCATTGCTGATGTCCTATGGATCGTGGCTGAAAGCAGAGAATATCAGAAAGATGTTTACCTGTGCTTTATTGACTATGCAAAGGCTTTCGATTGTGTGGATCATGAAAACCTATGGACAACATTGAGAAGTATGAGTATTCCAGAACATTTAATTGTGCTCATGAGGAATCTGTACCTGGACCAAGAGGAGGCAGTTATACGAACAGAACATGGGAACATTAAGTGGTTTAAAATTAAGAAAGGTGTGCGACAGGGTTGTATTCTTTCACTATACTTAGTCAACCTGTATGCTGAGCAAATAATCTGAGAAGCTAGGTTCTATGAAGAAAAACATGGCATCAGGATTGGAGGAGGACTCATTAACAACCTGCAGATGATACAACCTTGCTTGCTGAAAGTGAAGACGACTTAAAACATTTAGTGATGAAGATCAAAGAGCACAGCCTTTGGTATGGATTACATCTCAATGTAAAGAAAACAAAAATCTTCACCACTGGACCAATAAACAACATTCTTATCAATAGAAAAGATTGAAGTTTTCAAGGACTTCATTCTTGTTGGATCAACTATCAACACTCACGGAAGCAGCAGTCAAGAAATCAAGTGACATATTGCATTAGGCAAATCTGCTGCCCAAGACCTTTTTAAAGTGTTAAAGAGCAAAGATGTCAGCTTGAGGATTAAGGTGCACCTGACCCAAGCCATGGTATTTTCAATAACCTCATATCCATGTGAAATCTGGACAGTGAATAAGGAAGACCATAGAAGAATTGATGCTTTTGGGTTATGGTGTTGGAGGAGAGTATTGAAAGTGCCATGGGCTGCCAAAAGAACCAATAGATCTGTTTTGGAAGAAGTGCAGCCAGAGTGCTCCTTGGAGACCAAGATGGCCAAACTTCATCTCTCATACTTCGGACATATTGTCAGGAGGGACCAGTCGCTGGAGAAGGATATCATGTTTGGTAAGGTGGAGAGTCAGAGAAAAAGAGGAAGACCCCCAACGAGATCGATTGGCCAAGTGGCAGCATTGATGGACTCAAGTGTGGCAACAGTAGTGAGGTTGGCCCAGGATCAGGCAGTGTTTTGTTCTGCTGTGCATAAGGTCGCTATGGGTCGGTACCCACTCAATGGCACCTAACAACAACCACAACAGGGGCGACGGGAGATTAGAAAACAAAGGAAGACACAAGACAAAAAAGAACTAAGTTGAGACCAGGTGGGACACAGCACTCTGATGGAGATACTGTGACACAGACAAAGTGCAGTGAGTTTATTTATACACAGCTCAAGGAGAGGTTAGGAGGAGGGTTAGGAGTACTAGAACATCTTGTACTGAAGGAGTCTGCAATAAGTGGAACTTAATCAGAAACACTGTAACTTGTGGCAGCCAGAACACTGATTAGAGCAGCTAGAATGTTGCGGAGGCTGAACCAAAGGACATAGCTAAGTACAAGGAAAGACCTTTCAAGTTCCCTGTCCTCTGAGGCAGCCCTGCAAATTCCTCAGGGGCAGCTTGACTTGGATGCAGCCCGAGTTTCTGGACCACAACTGTTCAGTTGCAATCCTTCGGTTAAACTACTCCCAAGGCTGCTCCCAACAGATTTGCATTTCTAATGGCTAATGATTGTGAGCTTTGCTCCATGGTTGTTGACTGCCCGAATGTCTTCTTCGGTGAAGTATCTGTTCATGTCCTTGTCCTTTTTTAAATTGGATTATTTCTTTTTCTTGTTAAGGTATTGGCATTTTCTATAAATGTTAGAGAGTAGTCCCTTGTCTGATATGTCATTGCCAAATCCTCCCCCTCCACCCCAGTTTCTTCTGCTTACTCTTACCTAGAGGCCCTGTGGGAGGGTCTCCTGTAAATTCCTCACCTTGAACAACCTGTGGAAGCCCAAGGCTGCATCTTTTGGAAATGCCACATGCCATCCGGGCAGGAGTGCCTCTGGGCCTGTCCTGTCTCTGCTCTCTTGACACTCTTCAATGCTTTTCATTTTGACATTTTTTTTTTGTTGTTGTTGTTCAACTAGCAATTCTTGTTGTTTTCAGTGGACATTGGTCTAAACATCCTAGTCCCCTTCACTGGACGGAAGACCTCTCCCCTCCCTTTACTCAGCCTTTACCCTCTTCTCCACCAACCACAGAGCCTCCTCTTGCCAGGGTCCATAATGCCCTCCCTGTTGCCCTCCACTGTCAGCCTCTGGCACAACCCTGCCTTGTGAGTGTGTCCATTCTCAACCCAGCTCCCCTCCTCATCCCCAGCCTCTCTGTGGTTCCCCCCCACCCCCGACCTAGAACGCTTGGTTCCCGGGGGTAGGGGCTCACAGTTGCCTTTCCTCTCTCCAGTCATCCAGATCGAGGGTTCACATTCCATCTTCATGGTTCATTTCCTGTCAGATCTCACCCTGAGCCTACATGCATCTATCTGGCTGCCTCTGGGAGGCACCATGGAGCGGTCTGAAAGGCTGTCTCCACACACAGAGTCCACAGTCCACTCCGAGAGCCCCGCCAGGCTCTCCTCTCCTGCTTCTGTGAACAGGCAGCAGCAGTCCCTGGCCCAGCTCTATCAGCTCTCGGCCTCTGCACTTGCTGGTCCTCTCTCTGGGACACTCCTCCCTGGTGCCCAGGGGCTCTCACTTCCTTCTGTCTAGATGGACCTTGTTTCCTTTCAGCCTCACTTGTTGTGAAGTGCCATCGAGTCAGTTCCAACCCATAGCGACCCTGCATAGGGTTTCCAAGGAGCAGCTGGTGAGCCTTGCAGTTCAAACGGCTTTACAGTCTGGCACATTAACCCACAGCGCCACACCAGGACTCCTTCAGCCTCACTAGTGCCCTGATGTTCCCGGGCCAGGAGTCTGAGGACACGGCTGCCTTGCGCAAGCTTGATGAACATTCATGAATCAAAACCAAACCAAACCTATTGCCAGGAGTAGATTCCCACGATCGGGATCCCATATGTGGCAGAGCTTAACGGCTCCATAGGGTTTTCAGTAGCTGGCGTGTTGTCTGAGATGCCTCTGGGTTGAATCTCCAATCTTTAGGTTAGACGTTGAGACTCTGAGGACATGAAGAGCAAAACCCCAGCGCTGCCTGTGGTAGGAGCAGGCTGTGGACTCTCCACCAGACCTGGCAGGCAGGTGTCCACACACCACACCCGTAGCCTGGGCTGGGGACTCTGTCCTTCTCTCCTCGGGGACATCTGGGCTGGGGCTGGGGGTGATGCCTCTGATTGTCCTGTCACACTTGTTGCAGGTTGCCCTGGTTTTACGGAAGTCCTGAGGACCTTCAGTTCCTGCAAGGGGAAGCTGGGCGAGGTCCTGTCGGCGTTTGAGTTCATGGATGCCGGGTGCATGCGTCTGGTTCAGCAGCACTTGCACCTCTCCTGCCCTGTCCGAGGTACTGACCTGCAGGGAGGTGAGGCCGGGTCTGTGGTTTGACACCAGGTTCCATGGAAGTCTTGAGCCTCTGTCCTTCCGAGAGAAGTAGGAGAGGACAGCGAGGCAGTGATCGCACCTCTATCCCAGGGATCACCATAGGGGATGAGCAGGAAATTCTTTTCTGTTTTTATGTTCTCTCCCAATTTGAAATCAGTTACTGTTTGATTAGCTGACCAGAGTACAAAAATAATCGCGTTTGCACCTTAGTTCATCTTTTGAATAAGCCTGCTCATCTGGCCTTCCCCATTGCAGCATCTCCACCTTCTACACAATGCCTGGAAAAGAGCATTTGAAAGGCCACAGGAAGTTATTGGCTTCTTTGAAACGTTTTCCAACAGTGTAGCTCTCATAAACCAGATCCTCCCTGCAGGCGGCACCACACTTACCAGGAGGTGGAGCAGTCACCAAGTTCTCGGCTTATGATTGTGCCATTTCCACGCTTGTAGATGAGTTCAATCACTGACTTTAGCTCTGGGTACCCCCATGCACCGCATGGTTCCACAATCCTTAGCATGCTTACCAAAGGTGCCAGTGAAGAGCTGGCGGAGGCGAAGAAGCTGCGATGCCTTTTGGACCTTTGGACTCACACATTGATGCTGCTGACCCTGTTGATTGTCAGCTTGGGTTGAGTGCCTGCCTTTTTGCCATCCCAGCCATTGGACTCTCAGCTCTGTACAGCTGCCCGTATCCCTGTGATATCATACTGGACTTTTCCCTTTGATTGTCTGGCCTTTCTTCCTCTTTGCCTTTTGAAGTGTCTTTTGGACAAACGTCTTTCTCAGGTGCTTGATCTTCAGTTCTGGAAATTCCTTCGCTTTTTCTTCAGGTTTCTGGCACAGCAGGAACCCTTTTTCTTCTCTTCAACACCCTCCATGGGTCCAGCTGGTTTAGGGGAAACAAAAGGAGCAGGGACACCTTTATTGCATTGAAGACATGGTTCCCCACACCCTTCCACATCCCCGTTAGTCCACTGAACGGAGCCCGTCACGCCATTGCTCCAGGGCTTTGAGACCCTCACAGTGAACCCATCATCAGGGACTTTGCCCCCTGAGACAGGCCTGCATGTCCTCTCACCTACCAGCATCATTGTTGTTGTTGTTGTTAGGTGCCATCGAGTCAGTACCGACTCATAGTGATCTTATGCACAGCAGAAAGAAACATTGCCCGATCCTGGGCCAACCTCACCACTGTTGCCACGCTTGGGTCCATCTATGCCGTTACTTGGCCAATCCATTTCATTGGGGGTCTTCCTTTTTTTCTCTGACCCTCCACCTTACCCAGCATGACATCCTTCTCTAGCAACTAGTCCCTCCTGACAATATGTCCGAAGTATGAGAGATGAAATTTGTCCATCTTGGCCTCTAAGGAGCACTCTGGCTGCACTTCTTCCAACACAAATCTGTTGGTTCTTTTGGCAGCCCATGGCACTTTCAATATTC